GGCGGGGGGGCTGGGGGCAGAGGGCGGTGCGGAGGACCCGCTCGTGGGTGAGCTGAGGAGGCGGCTCCAAGGGACGGAGGGCGGCGCTGAGGCGGCCGAGGCGACGCGGCACCTCTTCGCCGCGGCGCGGGCGCAGGCGGCGGCGGAGGCGGCGGCGGAGGCGGAGGCGGAGGCGAGGGCGGCGGCGGAGGCGGCGGAGGCGGCGGCTGAGGCGGAGGGCCGGCGCTTTGTGGCGAGATCGGCCGCGATGAGCCGCGATCGGGCGGGGCTGTAGGCGGAGTGCGTGCGCGCGGCCCTCTTGGGCGAGATCGGCCGTGTGGTATCTCTTGCGGCGGAGGGGGCGGCGGCCGAGGCGAGGGTAGAGGCACTCGGGCGGGTCGGGGCGAGTGCGTTCGAGGAGGGGGAGCGGAGCGGGCGGAGGAAGGCGGCGGCGCAGGCGGAGGAGCTGGTCAAGGGGGTTCACCAGAGCAAGGAGAGGGAGCTGCTGCTCGCTGTGGAGGCCGCCGAGAGGACCCGAGATCGGACCCGAGAGATCGGACCCGAGATACGACCACAGAGCAGTTAACCTGCTCTCTCTCTCTCTCTCTCTCCCCTACAGCGCATGGGGAGGCTCTCCACCCTCACCGACACACCCAACCTCACCCCTCCCTAAACCCTCCCTCACCCCTCCCTCAGGCGGCGATTGCCGGGGAGCGCGAGAGGGGCGACGCCGCCCGCAGGCTGGCGGTGGGCGAGGCCGTCGCTGCGTGCGAGAGGGAGCGCGAGATCGAGCGCAAGGCTGCGATCGAGGCCGCAGTGGCGCAGGTGCGGCGGGGGTATAGGGGGAGGAGAGCGAAGATGGCGCCGGCCAGGTCTAGGCCGGATCGGGGCCCAGCCCCCCTGCAATCCCCCTCTTTTTGCCCCCCCCTTCCCTCCCCCCCCCCACACCCACCTACCACCCCCACCCCCACCCCCACCCCCAGGCGGAGCGGAAGGCGAGTGTGATGATTGCGCGCGCCGAGCAGACGACGGAGGCGCGCGGGGGAGGGGAAGCGGGCGGGGGGGGCGGGGGGGCGGCGGCGCGTCTCGGCCACACCTCTCTGGTTTCCCACGGAGCAGCTGACTGTGCCTGTCTCCCCGGCATGCAGGCGCGGGTGACGGCGCAGTGGCAGTCGGGCGCGAGCCGGATGCGCGACGACTCGGCGGAGGCACTCGCGCGGGTGGAGCGCGCCCGGGAGGCGAGCGCGGAGGCGGCGGCGGCGGCGCAGGAGAAGCTGGACGGGGCCAGGGCCGAGTGCGCCGCCCTGCACACGAGGCGACGCCAGCCCTTCCCGGACCCTTCCCGGACCCTTCCCGCGGACCCTTCCGAGCCTCTCCCCGCAGGCTGGAGAAGGAGGAGCGCCTCAAGGCGGAGCGCGAGAAGCACTTTGCGGCCGAGCTGGAGGCGGCTGTCGCCGAGCGGTCGCGCCAGGACGCGCCCGCGCGCGAGAGAGCAGTTCGCGAGGCGGTGGTGGCGGCCGAGCGGCGCGGCAAGGTCGAGCTCGAGGCAGCTCTGGTCAAGGCGGCCCGCCCCCCACCGCCCTCCTCCCCTCAGGTTTTTTCGGGAGGCATCAACTAGTGGGGCGCCCCACGCGCCAGACCTCCCCCCCCCCCCCCGCGCGCCCGCCTTTGGCTCTACCTGTGACGCCGCGCGTTCGCCTCCCCACTCGCCTCCCACTCCCTGATCTCCCCCGCAGGCGCGCGAGGCCGAGCGCGTGGCGCTGAGCCAGCAGCTCGAGGAGGCGATCGGCAGCAAGCAGGCGCGCCGCGGGGCGTGTGCGGCGGGCCCCCGCTCCCACCCTCGGTCCCTCGCCGCCTGCGTGTGACGTCGCCGCGAGCGCACACTGCAGGCGGAGGCGGACGAGGCGCGCGCAGAGGGCTACGCCCGCGGCTGTGCCGAGACGACGGCGGCGCTGCTCGGCGGGGGCGGGGACGAGGGGAAGGTCACGGCTTCGTCCGCCGAGCGCTCGTCGTCCGCCGAGCGCTCGTCGTCCGCGGGCGCCGAGCGGGCTCCTCCTGCGGGCGGCGTCGAGCGGGGAAGAGCCCTCGACTTGGCCCTCGCCTCGGGGGACGACTGGCCGCTGCACCCCGGCTCCGCCCCGCAGGCAACCGACGCGGGAGAAGGCTCGGGGCGGCCGCCCGACGCTACTGCGCCGCGGCGGAGGGACGGGGCGGCTTCGCACAAAGAGGACGACCCGGGGCAGCGTCGCGAGTCGGCGGCGCGGGAGGTTGCGGCAGCAGTTGAGCTCGGACGTCGTGAAGCAGCAGCAGGTCGAGCGGAGCCGGCGGCGCGCGAGCCGGCGAGGGGGTCGGCGCGGGAGTCGTCGCTGCCAACGGGTCGCGAGTGGGAGGCGCGGCTGCAGGCGCGCCGGGCCTTTGAGGCGACGCGTCCGAGCCACGCGAGCGGCGGCAGCCGCACCGCCTCCGGCGTGGGCCGCGGCTCGCCGGCGACCGCCTCTCGCCTCGTGGGCGCGCTCAAGCAGGCGCTCGACGAAGGAGCTGGCGACGAGGGCGAGGCGGTCTCAGAAGCCCCCACTGTGGAGTTCCTGTGACACTCCGAGATCCTGTAAGAGGCTTGGCGGCTTCTGTGCTCTGACTTTTTAGGGGGGTTGGAGTACACTGATCACACTGTGACTTTGGTGCTTGGAGACTCCAGACTGGCGACATCACTCATCTCGGTGATCAGCGCACGTCTTTTGATAGATCTCCCACCATTCTCGGGTCCTGATACGGCTTTACGCGTACCCGTCACAGGACTATCACACTAAGGTGACAGAGGTGTCACAGGGGACACAGGAGTCGTGTCCTCCGCTGACTTTTTGTTGATGCCCACGCCGCGAGTTCTCTCATTCATACGTCACCACGACGGTGGCCCGTCGGCCGCGCATGGCCTGCGGCACAGGGATGGAGATCGTGTCCCCGGCGGCAGCGAGCTCGAACTCCTCGCTGTGGAAGCTGCGCTTGCGCTTCAGAGCCCCTCCCCCGGGTGCCTGCGCAGGCGGCGAGCACATCGGCGCCATGTCGCCGTTCGCAGACGCCGCCGTGACGAGGGTGGTGGCAGCACCACGGATGGCTTCGTCGCCCTCGTCCTCTGAGGCGCTCTCACAAATGATGGCCTCGACGGACACGTTGCACCGCGGGACGCCAAAGTCTCCGTGGTCCTCCGACCCGGCCCTCCTCTTCCGAGCCGGCCCGGCGGCCGCCTCTTTGGCTGACTCCGCCGGGCCGAGAAAACGGGCATAAGCAAGAGCGGCTTCGGCAGCGCTCGAGAAGTGGCCAAGTTCGTAATCCTTGCCGTCCTTGCGCTTGCGCACGTGAAACGTTCCAGACGCGTGATGAATGGACACGCCACGATATCCCACCCCATTGTTCGCTGGCACGAGCGTCAGCCCTTCGGCGGCAGCGAGACGCGTCGCCAACGTCTCTGGGTCCGCCTCGCGCGGCGCGCTGCGCAACATTGTGGCAGCCCGTGTACTCGACGCGGCCGCCACCGCGGGGAGCAGCAGCTCCCACTGCAACGGCTCGAGTCCTGTCAGGCACTCCTGCCGCTCCTCGCCGTCGTCGTACCGCACTAAGTGCTCCAACGTCACCGAGTCAAACGCCTTGGCCTGCCCAGAGTACCACTTCTTGTCGTCTGGCCAGTAGACTCGCACCCGCTTTCCGACGAGATCAGGCCCCTCAAGCATCAGTGAGTCGTGTCTGAGTGACCTTTGGTCGTGCTTGTTTGTTCCTCGGCCTTGGTGAGCAGTCACATCCGTGCTCCCCGCCATCTCCATCGCCTGGTCTGCGAATGCTTATCAGCCACGAAAGGAGAGCGTGGCCGAGGACGCATAGACTCGATCGCAAGATCCCAGAAAGGCACCTCCGCCTCTGGACAGGGTGGCCCGCCCTAATCGACCCCTGTTAAGTGACTCGTTCGCTTTCCACCCACTGTGATTTTGTGTGAGCTCTGTGTCTTGTTGCCAACAACATACCTACACTAAGCACCGCCCGCATTCCGCGGCAAGCATGCAGCCTAGGCACCCGCTCTCCAGGGGGGGGGATATCCACCTGGTCGTCCACACCTGTCTGCTGCTGCCAGTGCTGCAGTGAGAGAGGCCCGGGTCTCACTCACTCAGGGCCTCAGGCCGGTGTTCTGAACGGTCTACCCTGTTCCAAAAAGAAACGTGTTCGCATGGGCTGGAATATGTGCGCATCAATCAAGCTTCCGTCTGTTGACAGTCTTAGTTTAGTCTTTAGACTTTAGTCCCCCTCCCAAGCTTCGAATGGAAGACGTAAGTCGCAGCGCCAAAGGCCATGGTGAAGATTAGTTTGACTTTGTGAGTCCATGCCACTTCATCATAGATGTCAGACGTGTACTCTTTGATGTTCAAAACAAAAAGAATTTTAGCACGGCGCGAAAAAGAGAAGTGCACGTAAATGTCAGCCTCGCTCGCCGACCGAGAGTGGCCGTTTGGAGTCCGCGATGCCAATGGATGTGAACGAAAGATTTGGACCCCAGCCGACGCGACGGGCGAGCGTCTGCGCTTTTTCGTCGTCGCTGTCCACGCGGTCGCGGTCGCTGTCGCTGTCGCTGTCGCTCGAAGGGCGCGCACGACGGGGCTGTGATGTGAGCTCAGCTGATGACGCAGCCCTCGGTCGCCTCCTCATTCGAATCCGAGCCGGAGACGCTGTCTTCGTCCTCGCCCTCGTGCTCGTCGTCCTCCTCCTCGACGACCGGCACAACGGCGGCGGAGAAGACCTGGCACTTCTCGTGCTCATTGACGGTTGGAAGTCGGCACCAGCGAGCCTCGCTCGCGTAGTCGCTCTCCGCGACGCTCGGATTGCGCAAGAAGCCGAGTGACACCATCACCCCCTCCTCGGAGCTGCCGCTCGCCATGCGAAGCAGGCGCCCGCCGATGCAGTACGGAATGGGCTTCCGTTCGCCGAGGCCGCTGTTGTACACAGCGATCTTGGAGCCGAGGAAGGCCGTGCCGTGCCCAAGCTTGCTCAGCGGTAGTGGGTACTGCGAGACGATCGCTGACGTGTCGAGGACGTCGGCGGGCCGCTCGGGAACGGGGTAGCAGCCCACCGACCGCTCCTCATCCGCGTCGAAGGCCATGACTCCCCAACAGAACCCTCGGTTCCAGTTCGAGTCGTTGCCATACGAGCAAACCGACTCGTTGCAGCCCCAGGTGCCGTCGTTGCGTTCCGCGCCCAAGGTGTCGAGGTAAACTTGATCGGCGCCGCCGGCCGTAGGCTTTGTAAAGGCCCACATGGCTGCGGACGGCGCCGGGTAGAGGCCAAGCACAAAAGGGAGCTCGCGGACCGCCTTCTTGTGATCCTTCCAGCCTGTCCGATCGCCGTCTTCGCAGTTCTCGAAATGCTCAATCTCCTTTGCGAGCGAGGGCTTCCAGTCAAGACCCTCTGCTGCAACGCAGTCGCGGGCGCGGCGACGCCACTCCTCCTGGGAGAGGGCAAGCCAGCGCTGGTTGACGGCCGCCGCGTTCTTGGAGGACCTGGCGTGAAGGTGGCGGAGAATCTGCGCGTGCATGTCGTCGTCGAGCGCACGCATGGCGCACGCAAGGTAGGGCGGATTCTGAACGGCAAAGAGACCTGGAGGCGCCCTGGAGGCGGCCGGAAAAAAAAGCTCGTGCAGAAGCCAAGCCGTCAAAAGCCACCCCACAAAAGCCGCGAGCCTCCGTTACGCGATTGCTCGTAGCGCAGCATGATGCGTGGCCAGCGTGGGAGCAGGCCGGCGCACGCTGCCAGAACTAAGACGAGACCTCGACCGACGGACGGCGGCCGTGCGGGCGAGCACCCGCGCTGCCGACGACGTGCTCGGCCTTCGGAGCGACGAGATTCTCGCATGTTTTGAGGAGGCGCTCGGCGATCGGCTGCCAGAGATGGGCACGGATGCTGCAGCAGGGCGAGAGGCGAACGCCGAGAGTGCGGAGGCCGCACCGCGACTGGAGGCTGCAGCAGAGCAGCAACGGGAACATTCCCAAAGCCACGAAAAGCCGCAAGGGCGGGGCAAACTGCGCGCCTGCCGCCACCGTGAAATCCCTGTGTGGTGGCGGCGTGCCGTCCTCCCATCCCTCCTTTGGGTTGTATGTTTGAGTGGGGCTGGAACAGAACCGGCGGGGGCGGGGCTTGACAGAGGGGACACTGTGGGGGGACGTCTTTCCTCCTCGCAGCCCTTGTGGTGATGTGAGCGAGCCCGGCCTCGCCGATCTCGCCCACGCCACCAGATGGTGAGGTTCTTGTCTTCTCTAGGGCAGCCTCGCGCATACCTGTGGGGTGGGGGCTAGGGTGGGGGCGTCTACGACACAGCCTGCGTGAGCACGCATACCCGATCACGATTGCGCTGCGCGGAAGGCAGCGATGTCAGTCGTCTAGCGGTTCGCCGGGGAGTTGCTTGCGGAAGGAAGGACGATGGATGGGGAAGAGGTATCGCCGATCGGACTCAGGGCCGGTGCTTTGACGCAGTACAAGTGTGCGTCGAGGTAGTATGAACTCAGAACGGCCCCCCGAGAGCGCCTCTTCGACGCCCACGGGTCCCGGGGGGTCGGAGGGGTTGCGAGAGAGCCTTGGCTATTTTTTGTTTGAATTCTGGAGGCCGTTCAAACTTGTAACGTGCGTTCCACGTGCCCGTCCCCAGCAAGGACAACATGCTAGCCCAGCAGGCCGCTCCCACCGCCGCCCGCGGCGGAGGCAAGGCGGCAAAGGGTGGCAAGGGCGGCGGCAAGGGCGGTGGCAAGGGTTGTGACCGTGTGGCGCACCAGACCCACTTTGCGCCGCAAAACCTCAACGCCCGATACTCGGTTGAGCCGGCGGAGCGACGGCGGCAGAGTTGCGGCCGCCGGCGACCTCACACGGCGTCGAGCGCCGTAGAGACGGCCCCGAGAGCCGCCGCCAGGTGTGCCACGACCGCGGTCGCGAGGCTCGTGGCGATGGATGCGTCAGACCCGCTTGTGCCGCCGCCCTCAACGCCCGATACTCGATCAGAGCCGGCGGAGCGACGGCGGCGGAGTTGCGGCCGCCGGCGACCTTCCCCTCGATCACGCCGCCGACCCGTCGACAAAAGCATGCGCGGACTGCCATCGAGAAGAAGGAGAAGGAGGGCGGCGCATCCGGAGCCCACGGGCGCGGCGTGGGCGGGCGCGGGCGCGGGCGGGCGCGCGGGACCCCGCCAGCGGAGGCGGCAATGCCTCTGGCGGCTCTGCAGGCGGCGCGCGGCGCGCCCCTCGCCGGTCTCCCGCACGCTCCTGAGGGCCGAGAGGGCCGAGAGGCGGGGTCGGTGACCCGGGGGCATGGGCGGTGCGGCCCGCGCCGCGCGCGGGCGCGTGGCAACCCGTGAGTGCCGAGATCGGGTCTGTGCTTCGACGGAGTATGGGCCCCCGGGGGCCCATCTACAGCAGCGGCGAAGTGAGCGTGTTTGTGGTGTTGGTGTGGCGTCTGAGCTTGGACCTGTGACTAAAGCCGGTTACCACTGATGGATCCCCACCCGAATAACACACAGTGAGCGCCCCAGCGCTTCACTACGCCCTCCGCGCGAAATCGCTAGTGGTGCTTTGTGGTAGTACATTGTGCTTTTGAGTAGTGTGTATGGGTACGGTGCCCGAGACCGCCGATTCCACGCACCTCTCTCTCTCTCCGATTCCACCTCTCGCAGGTAGTTGTACGGGTCGTTAAGACTGCAGACGGCGCTTTTGTACCAGACTGCAGTCGGCGTAGTTCCTGCATGCAGCAGCCGGAGCAGAGTAGCGTGTCGAGCACGGTCAGGCATGGATGGAGTAGAAAGAAGGAGGCGCACACGACTCACGAGCGCAGTCCAGCTCGGTTGTTTCCGACTTTCCGAGCCTCGCTCGCCATTCTTCTGACGATTCCCCTTACCTCGACTAGCGTGTGAGTGAGTGTGTGAGTATTCTTGATACGAAACCACGACGACACACACCAGTCGACTCGCATCGGTTGCCTCCATGAACACACACACACACACACACATGTATGTATGTATAGTAAGGTGAAGAACAGCCAGGCTCGGACTGGACACCAACGCGGTATGGGTGGACGCTGGACAGATGTGATGACGACACGCACGAGCGACACACAGACACAAACAGGCTCACAAGACACACAGCCAGCTGGCTGCCACACACCCTGAGTTGGCGTACACATAACTCAAGGCCACATCCTCCCTGTCGCCCCCCCCAGCACTCCACCGTGCCAAAGGAACAAACAACAGCACAACATCACAACAGACGACAGGAAGTAACATGCGAGGCTAGAGCAGGCTTGCTCCACCTCTAGCAATCTCGCCGGCCGCAAGGCACGGACAAGACCGTGTGTGGGGTCTTGTGAGGTGTCTATGGACGCCCTCCTCAGAGGCTAGCTGCCTACTGCTAGCCCTATCCTCGCACTCACGGGCAGTGACAATTCAATGGGTGAGTGTTTGCGAGCAGAGGCGCGTGGGCTAAATCTAGGCCGCACGTCGTGGCACTATGACGAAGTTAGACGTGCGGCCGCAGCGCGCCCGCCGCAGGCTCGGCGGTGCGCGCGTGTTAGCGAGAAAGTTGCGGGTGGAGCCATGCCCGACTTTTCGAAGGTGAGGCCTCTGCGACGCGTGCCAGCCGCGCTGCGGAGCCACACCCTTCGAGCCGCGTCCCGTCGGCACCGTCCCTGAGTGCGTCCCGCCTTGGCGGCACACACTCTCGACGAGGACAGTCCGGCCTACGGGAACGTGTCGCGCGCCGGCGACGGTTGCGGCGTGGACCGTGGTGGATTCGAGTACGAAGCGAAGATGGCATCGGGCACCCCTTGAGTCGAGGGCGGCGCGACCACAAAGAGAAAAATCCCAGTTCAAAGAGAAAACCCTTTGAGAGTGCCGGGCACTCCGTTGAGCGACCCGCCCGATCCGCTCAGCCCTGCAAGCCGACCCGAGAATGTCGTCACAAACCCTCACCCGCCAGGGCACCAGAAGCGATCTCAAGTGGCAGGAAAAGGTGTCAAAGCGGCGAACCGAACGGCAGCTGCCGATCGGGCACGGCGAGTACACGGTGCTCTACCCGCCCGGCCTCGCAAAGATGGCGCTCGGCTTGGCAGAGAACCTCGGCGACAATCTGCCGGTGCTGTGCACCGACGACATCTTCAGCGGCGGCTCGATCGACGAGACGGGCCTCGCATGGGAGCGCTTCCCGTCGGGCGACCCAAACATCAAGCTGCGCGTCGACCTGATCCGCGACCGGCACGTGGTGCTGCTGATGAACCACGACACGATCTTCCTGTTCGAGCAGCTCGCGGTCATCCTCTTCCTCCAGCGGTTCAACGTGCCCCACGCCAAGGAGCAGTACGCGCGCGGCAAGTGGAAGCAGACGATGGCTGACGGCGCGCCTTCTGAGACACTTCCGAGACACTCCTCGGCCGCTGGACTCACGCCTCCGATCTGGCCGCCCTCTTACGCCCCTGGCTCCACTGCGCTCGCACCGCCACCGCCCATCGCACGCTGGCATGGCGCGCGCATGCCGCGTCGGAGGTACGCGTCTGCGACAGTGACACGACAGTGACGCGACAGTGACAGCGACAGTGACAGCGACAGTGACGCGACAGTGACGCGACAGTGACAGCGACAGTGACGCGACCATGATGCGCACCTCCGCGCCGCGTCGGCCAGGCGCGTACGATTCGTGCTCGGTCGCGTCGCTGACGATCGTCGTGCCGTGGTACCGGCACTGCCAGATGGAGCGCACCTCCCGCTGGACCGTCACCACCGGCAAGTGGGACAACGGCGCGCCGGACGGCGAGCCGGGAGGACGTCCGGGACACGTCCAGGACACGTCCAGGACACGTCCCGCGTAGGCAAGCCGGACGGCGAGTTTGTGGACGTGCCCACCTGCCAGTCCTTTGCCGCGATGCTCTCCGCGCTGCCGCTGCCGCCTCCCGCCGGCTGCGCAGCGCCGCCGCCGCCGCAGCAGCTGCTGCTGCTCGACATTCACGAGTACGAAGACCTCGAGGCGAGGTGTCGGCTCGAGCGGGCGCCTGGGATGTTGCGTGGCCAATCACGGAGAGAAGCGGTGATCAGGCGACCCTCAACTCGACCGGCCGCTGGGCCAACCGGCGCGCAGAGAGAGAGAGGGAGGGAGAGAGAGAGGAGAGAGAGGGAGAGAGGGAGAGAGAGGGAGAGAGAGAGAAAAGCGACAGTGGGAGGGAGGGAGGGAGAGAGGGAGGGAGGGAGAGAGGGAGCGAGCGAGCGAGCGAGCGAGAGAGAGAGAGAGAGAGAGAGAGAGAGAGAGAGAGAGAGAGCCGAACACACACATGGCATGCACACATAAACACGATTCAGACGGCCGCATGGCACTCGAGAGCACGCGAAACGCGCGACACCGCCTCCGAGACACCTCCGAGACACGCCTCCGAGACGCCTCCGAGACACGCCTCCGAGACGCCTCCGAGACACGCCTCCAGGCGGCGCGAGTACGACTACGTGCGCGGGCTCGGGACGTACTTCGCCTCGCCCTTCGACCGCTTCCTCTCCACGGCCCGCCGCCCGCCGCCCGACACGCCCGCCCCGCGCTGCGCCGTGGCAGCGCCCGCGATCGCGCCGTGCGCCCCTTCCTAGCGGCGTGGACGCGCCCCTTCCCGCAGGTGCTCCAGCCACGCGTGCAGGAGGACCCTCGCCGCGCCTTCATCGTCTTCCCGGACCACGGCGCCCACCGCCGCTTCTACCAGATGGTGCACCGCTGCATCCCCGGCATCCAGTGCGGGACCACCCCCCTCCGGCCCTCGCCGCCCCTCCTCGAGCCGCCTCACGCAGCCGGGCTCGGAGCCCCGCCCGCAGGTACGAAAACATCCTCTGGATCGACAAGACGCGAGTCGGTGCCGTGCCAACCTCCCGCCCCACCTCCCGCGCCTCCTCCCCCCTCCCCTCTCTCCTTCCTCCCTTTCCCGCACCTCCGCACCCCTACGCCCCTCCCTGCCCCGCCGGGCCACCCGCCCTTTCCGACGCGCTCCCCTCCTCCCACCCCTCTCACCCCTCCCACCCACCCCTCCCACCCACCCCTCCCCCACCCCCTCCGCCCCCAGGCGCGGACATCGTGCAGGTCACTCCTCCTCTTCCCTCTCTCCCCCCCTCCACCACACCTCCTCCCGGCCCACCACCTCCCTCTCTCCTCCGGGCCACAGCCTCCCTCCCCCGCCTGCACTCGCCCCTCTCCACCCCTCGCGACGCGGCGGGGAGGCCAATCTCGGCGGCATCTCGGCGGCACCTCGGCGGCACCTCGGCTGCACCTCGGCGGCACCTCGGCGGCACCTCGGCGGCACCTCGGCGGCACCTCGGCGGCACCTCGGCTGAACCTCGGCTGCACCTCGGCGGCACCTCGGCGGCACCTCGGCGGCACCTCGGCTGAACCTCGGCTGCACCTCATCTGCACTTCGGCGGCACCTCGGCGGCACCTCGGCGGCACCTCGGCGGCACCTCGGCTGAACCTCGGCTGCACCTCATCTGCACTTCGGCTGCACCTCGGCGGCACCTCGGCGGCACCTCGGCGGCACCTCGGCTGAACCTCGGCTGCACCTCATCTGCACTTCGGCTGCACCTCGGCGGCACCTCGGCGGCACCTCGGCGGCACCTCGGCTGAACCTCGGCTGCACCTCATCTGCACTTCGGCTGCACCTCGGCGGCACCTCGGCGGCACCTCGGCGGCACCTCGGCTGCACCTCGGCTGCACCTCGGCGGCACCTCGGCGGCACCTCGGCGGCACCTCGGCGGCACCTCGGCGGCACCTCGGGCGGGTAGGCGAAGAGCTTCTCCTTTGTCGACGCGGCGGGCGCCGAGCACCCGAAGACGTCAAACTTCCCTCCCGGCGCCTCCGCCCTCCCTGCCGGCGGGGTTGGGAAGCTTGCGGTGAGAGCTGGCCTCGCACCTGCCCCCCGCAGGCACCTTTGTCCTCCTGGCCGACGACTTCACCAACTCTGGCTCGACGCTCTTCGGAGGCGCGGAGGTGATCCGCACGCACGCCGACGGCGCAATCAAGGTGTGTGTGGGGAGAGAGCGGGAGACGCGCGTAAGTCAGGGGAAGGAGGGAGGTGGAGGGGCAGCATGACGCACTCAACGCCAGGACCTCCTCCTGCACGCCGGCAGACCAGCCGAGCCGACACCCCCGCCCCCGCCGCCGCACAGGTTTGCGCGTACGTCTCGCACTACGTCGCAAAGTACGACCGCGCCACCGTCTCAAAGTTCGTCGACAAGCTCTACGCCGGGGGCGCTCTCGACGAGTTCCACTGTGCGCGCGAGCCGTCAAGCCCACACCCTAAGCCGCAGCAACCCAGACCCCTCCGCCGTTCTCACCACCCACACCCTACCA